ACCCGTTATTATCCCCACCCCAGGAAAAAGTGAGACAGATGACAAGAAACCATGCATACATGGATGCAGTGACCATGCACACGCCCCTTCTGTTTGCTACGCACCACTAGCCTGGCCATCCATTGATATGAGCCAAGAGTTACCTCACTGCCTCTCCCTCTGGCAACACAGGGCCAGAAGATAATGAAGGGAAAGGATCTAGCAATAGTTAAATGACCATTACAGGTGAAAAACTGAAATAGAAAATGTTCATCTTTGGGACCTTTTGTATACCCTTCATCCATGTCTGCTCTTCCAGATGGCTCTGGAGACAGAGCCTTTTTATTACCTTCTGACTGTCTCCAGATGCAAGTGGCCATCATAGCTCAGGCACTCCTCGGCAGCTGCCTCCTTAGCCCTATCTTGAACCACTTCCATACATCCACACTCCATGTCAGATGAATCTTCTGAAAAAACAAGTCTAATCCCACCCACTTCTGTTTGTAATTCATTAATTAGAACTACATCATTCTAACATGCATTATAGTTATGTGTGCATGTGTCCTATCTCTTCCAATAATCTGTAATCATGTGAGGACCTAAATTTCTTACCCATCTTAAAGAATCTTCACTCATTTATTCATCTGTAATAAGCACATGTTATGAACCAGGCACTACACTACCCCTAGAGAGATGAGTCAGGCGGTTTGTTCCCTTCAATTTGTTTAAAATCTATTGAGTGGGAGGCAGCAGGAGTTACAGCCATGTAAACAGAAAATTGTAAAACTTAAAATTATTTACATATTATATAATTGCAATATATAATATATTATGATTGCACAGGCACAATTGAATGAAGAATCACATGAAAGGGACTCTTACTAAACTCTTGAGCAGATCAAGCAAGGCTTCTCGGAAGAAGTAGTGTCTACATTGATACCTGAGCATAAGCAGGTGTATATGAAGAACTGGATACTATAAACTGTGCATTAAGACTGGAGCTGTAGCAAAGGATAAGCCTTGAGAAACATATGGGGACCAGATCATAAAAGGGCTTTTGAGCAACATTAAAGTGTTTGAAGTTTATCTTCAAGGCATTGAATTAATTTAATAAGATGCGTGATATAATCAGAAGGGTACTTCAAAATGACCACTCTAACGAGTGTAGCAGTCATTCAAATGTCTGTTGAACACATGAATAGTTGGGACATAAGCACAACAAAAAATATTTCAGGAATTAAGAAAATAGAGATATCAGTGAATCAGTGCTGGCATGATGCCCCCGAAAGAATGGAAGAGTTTATGGCAGAGTTTAACTGGGCTTTTTAAAAACATAGAAAAAAAAAATAAAATTAAACTTAAAAAATTTTTTTTAATTTTAAAAATTTTTTTAAAAACATAGATTTTGCGTCAGCCGGTTAGCTCAGTTGGTCAGAGCAAAATACCAATAACACCAAGGTCCAGGGTTCGATTCCTGTACCCGCCAGCCACCAAAAAAATTTAAATGCAGTTTGATAGGGTGACTCAAGGAAAAGAAGAACATTCCACTCAGAGGCAAGAAGGGTCCGAGGAAGATGATGAGCTAAGAAATGGTTGAGCAAAAGCATAAGGAGAATTCATAGAACAGTTTAGTGGACGTGAGGCTAAGTTGACACAGGGGAGCAGGGATTTGAATGCCAGGTTCATGATTTAGACTTCACCAGCCAAGAAACAAATCATGATGGGTTTCTGGGGAAAAAAAGTGTATTGCCTTAGGAAGAGTGAATATGAATTGAGAGAGGTTAAAAACAGGGTCCAGGCAACCAGGTGGTGGTAGGAATGTGAAAGGAAAAAATATGCTACAGGAGATAGGCTGCAAGATGCACATCAAAATAAGAAAGAGGAGAGAAGCAAAAGTGTAAGGCTGAGGGATAGTGTGAAACAAAGGTTGCCTCCACTTCAACCTGCCACACTCACTCCCACACTTCCAGCACCCCCACTAACCCTTCCCCAGAGCCTGATTATTTGAATGGAGGCATTTCCAGACACTTAGTGTGATCATTTGGAAAATGAGAATCTTTGCTTTTATCAGGCTTTTTAACCAGTGTCTACACTTAAGAATTTGGAGGTAAGGTATTTGGGAAGAGGAAATGAAGGAAAGGGAGCATTTGGAGAATGAGTAAGGCACATCTGAACAAACAAAAGGCAGCAATGAGGCCATTCTTAAATCCTCTAAACTAATAACACAGGAGTATTATGACATTTGGGGTTTCCCTCTGTATTCTGGAAACTCCCCTCAGTAGATGAGACCTACTTCCCATCAGGGGGGCCCCACAGATCCATTTGGCTTAAAGGGCTCCCTCCTCTTTGCTCTCTGGGACTGTCTCTTCTACCTCTTTGTACCCTCAGTAGCTATAAAAAGCAAAACAATAAACTCAATTGTTCTATTGTTTCCAGTTTGAACTCAGGTCACTTTCGTTTCCCAAAACAACAAGTTAATTTAATAGTACTTAGGGATACTGAAAAAAAATTAGAAAACCTTCCAAAGTTGTCTAACAAAGCTCCAGAGTTCAGTAGTCTATTACGTAAGAGAAGCTGACCTTTAATAAATATCACGGCCCTCATCCAAAGGAACAATGTCACTCGCAGGTAGATCTTGTAGAAGATTCAATAAACTCCCAGCCCACAGAAACAAATTCTATTTTCTCAGCCTTTTTCAAAGTCAAAAAATCAAATTTCTCCCAATAGACCCATACGTTGTTTATTCTACTCTCTTGCAGGTGAGGATACTGAAGTTGCATTCTTTAAGGTATGGAGACATTAATGGCCCTAAATTTTACTCCAAATTGGACAGTTTCATGCTGGAGCATAAGAATGCCTTGGCTCACGTTCATCAATTACCAGAAAATTAATGGATTCCTCCATCTCAGCATTTCATTTGTCATCATTTAACCAATGATGGTTTTTGCATTAGGACTTTTTAGAAGATCAAATAGATGTTTGTTAGGCCTGATAAGTGGTAAATTTTCCTTAGCTTCCCTTTGTTTCCAAGCTAATCATGGGCTTCTTCCTGTCTCTTTCAGATGCCCACAGAGGCTATAATGAGGGTAGTTAAATACGCAAATACTAGAATGAGAAATAACGTGTCAATACACATATAATTTACCCATTGAGACATCCTACCTACTAGAATCATATTGAGAATCCTACTGAGAATCATATTGCCAGTAAATTTAACCAATTTTTCTAAATAACTGAGGCATATATTCCAGTGTTTTTGCAAGTGTGGCTTGGGGGTCTTTCACCCCTTTAAAATTCATCAGCACCTCCAGTCACTGCAAGATAAGGAGATCATTTAAGTCAGAACAGCATGTGGGCTACAGATATGCAGCTTCAAGTCAAGTCTCAATGCTTCTTTCCAAGCATATGACCACACCTACCTAAAAATACTGGAGTCAGCTCAGCGGTTTCTCCTACTTGAAAAGAAGAGAATGCAACTAGCCAGAGAATACTTAGGAAGTTATTTGCTTTATTTTCTAAAATATCAGTATAATATGTTGACATTTCAATTTTCCCAACGTATCATTTCTCAGATTTTAAGCCAAATATAATACCTGGCCAGAACTGAAACTATAGACAGTTTACTAAAGAACATGCATAAAAGGACCACAAAACCGTTATAGTTGAGTCAAAGCTCAATCACTTCCAATATTTCACAGCATCAGAAAGTTACACTTCTTGATTACTGTATTTTTCATCCAGGTAAGATATTCCTAATAAAAATAATACTGACCTACCTATAATAGTATTAACAAGGAATTTACCTGATTAAAGTTTCCCTAACTGTAACTGAAGGTCAGATTCATTAAGAAACACCATAAGAATGGAATATACTCGCAGTATACAGCATTTCTCAAACATCTTGGACCACAAAAACTCTATGTAACAAACTAACATCTCCCAAAAGTGATAATATGTAAAACACTGCATTCTGATATTGAACATCGGTTGTCAATGGGACAGAAATAGAAGGTAAAAAAATCAAAGCACTGAGTTAACTGAGTTTTTAAAAGGGAAGGTTTGAAAGGATGCAGAAAGCACACTTTGTCTACTTCACAATTTTAAGAAATAGCCAAACACAGAATATTTATTATGGAAATAACTGGTAATCTACACCTTTTTGAAATTTTTATGCTTACCTACAGGTATGATCTTTAATGGCTCCTAGGTAGTTCAAAACTGTCCTTAAGCACAAGTTATTACCAAATGCCTAGATAATGCTGTGCACATGTACTGAGAAATCTATTTTTTATTTTGAATTAATTTTAGAATCAAACACTTGGCCTAACATATTACAAACTAACCCAGTCTATAACACCAAGGTCAAGGGTTCGGATCCCCGTACTTGCCAGCCACCAAAACTAAAAAATAAAAATATAAATAAACCCAGTCTGCGACCAACTAGATCACCAAACTATGATCTTGGTCTCAAGGCCTCCTCAGTTTCCCCATCTTCACAACAGGCTTTTCAACTCTAAATGACTAATGTAATGTACACAGGAGCCAGAACTACATTATATCGCATTTTTAAATGGTAGTGGTTACCGGCCGGCAACAGTTGAGGTTGGCATGTGACATCTTCTTCCTTGCTAACTTTGTAGCAAGTGTGCAAGCTGCTATCTTTCTGGGAAGATTTAAGTATGCCATTCCTATCTAAAAAGTATCTCAGGGTGGCTTCACGCTCTCAACTACTTCCTAAACTTTTCTGTAAAATATTATAACTACAAGCGTCTTACCTCTCAGCTCATTAGGCATAAAACTGCTATTTCTGGCTGCCAAATCCTTTAACACCACTAGCTCTTTCACTTTGGCTTAACCAGCCCGGTCAAAATGAATCAAGTGCCACCAATCAGTTACCGCCTCATACTTGAAAAATGTAACAAAATTACCCCCCCTCCCAAAAAAAAAAAACGGTTCATATACAAACGGGAGTCTACGGACACCCACACTACAGAAGTGCTGCCCGGGTCGGCCGGCCGTACCTGGTTGAAGTGCAGTTGGCCGAGCTCCGCGGCGCCCTCTCGGGGGGCGGCTCCCAGCTGCTCCAGCAGGCGCCCGAGCTGCCCCGCCGACAGGCTCCGATTCGCGCCGAACACACCCAGCACATCCTCGCTGAAGGCGAGCCCGGGCCCCTCCGCCGCGCCTCCGAGGCCGGCGGCCGCCAGCAGCAGCAGCCCAGCCACCGCCTGGCCCGGGGCCATCCTGGCCGGGGCTGCCCCTCGAGGGCCCACGACTGGCTGGCGCGCACAGGGACGCGCGCGGGCGCACCGAAGTTCGTACCCAAGGGCGCGCGGGTCAGGCGTCGGCGCAGGTCCCAGTCAGCGGTGGCGCCGGGCGCCCCTGGTCCTCCGCCGCCTTCGAAAGAGAAGCAGCCCGCGACCCGAGGGGCATTGAAGTGGCAGCGCAGCCGGGGGAAGCGATAGGCACAATGGGCCCCCCCGAGCCTCCTGGAGAGCCTGAGATAAAGGGGACAAAGGGGGACAGAGATAAAGGCCACCGGGCCACCAGCTGGCCGGCCCCAGGAACGCTGCGTGGCCGGAGCCCTCGAACGACCGGCTGGGCATGGGGCCAGGAGAGCTGGGTTTGCAGACGTCCCAGGATTTGCGTACAGTGTGGTGACACACGCTCCTCCCGGATATAAAGCCCCAAACCACGCCACTTCTTAGGAGGAACTAAAACTACACTAACTATAGAACCCCACCTCCCTTTCCTGCCCTTCTGCTTTATTCCCTCCGCAGCAAACTTAGAAGGGGTGAGACGTGCAATCCGCAAGGAGCTGCAGGAAACGGCTCCTTTGGAGAGTCCTGGGGTTCTCCTCACTGGGCTTGGCAAGTTAATAGGAAGGACTCGCTAGCCTCTCACCTCTCCTGTCTGACTCTGCGCCTTTCTCTTTGTGTGTCTACGTGAGTGAGTGAGAGAGTCAGTCAGTCTCTCTCTCTCTCTCCTTTAACTCCCGAAGGTCCGCTGTGATGTGAAACTCTGCGATCGGGCCCTGAGCCCTTTACAAATAAAAGGAGGAGGGCCCTGTCCCCGCCTCTGTAGCACGTGGTGACACACTTCCCCAACCTGAACTTCCGCGCGCGTCCACGCCGGGGCGCAGAGACGCTGACCGTGCCTCTGCCTGCTGCTTCCCAGCCTCAGCCGTTCCCGCTCCCCACCCTCACCCCTGAGAGTTATCTGGATGCCACCTCCATGTCGGGGTCCCTAGTCCCCTTTCTGGTCTCGGTGGCCCACCTCTTTGTAACCTTGATGAAACTAACTTCCTGGAATGGAGTCTGGAACCACTTGCATTGTCTATGAGATTAACAAGAATTTTATTTTACTTTATTTTTTATTTTTGGATCGCACTTCTTGAAATCAAAGGAGACAGAGGAAATCAAATCTGTAGTGTGGTGGCGGGCTAGCTGAGCCAGCACTGCCCAAACTGGCCCTTCCTGACGGGATATCCGCAGATCAGAAGGAATGTTTATTTGTTCAGATGAGGATTCAAGAAAAGCTGACTTAGGTGGGATCAACAGGTTTGTGTAAAGTAAATGTGGTGTGTGAGGGCAAGGGTTGAATCTGGTGGATATAATTGTCCAGAAATAAATGAAACTATGCTTCACTGTTAGATGGCTAAGGGCAACAAGGAATTCAAAGTGTGCTGTTCTTGCCTTTCATCAGTAGAATGCCTGCATAGGCACATTTAAAACAGCACATTTAAAAGTTACACCAAGTCCAGACAAGAGCAAGGAAATCGGGAAGGAGAAAGAATCTCACTTTCCTATGAGGAAGAAAGAGACAGGGAGAGAAAATTCCAGGAGGATGAGAACATAGGTGGACACAACTGAGGGGCTGTCAAATAGAAAGTTTAACTATCTATTGTATCGAACTCCAGAGAGCAGAAGGCAGCACTAACAGGGCAAGGTGACCACGAGGAAGGTTTCTGCAGAATTACAAGGTGCAGCTGCTTTGATAGATAGTGATTTTCCATGATTGAAAGTGATTCAAATCCACAGACCCTAGGTGACCAGCCATAAGTATATGCTAGAAGGATTCCTGCCTTGAAGGGAAATGAACTAAATGATCTTGATGGTGTGTTCCTTCCGATTATAAAATCTGTCCATTTTTAAATATGAATTTACAGAATTACATTGACATTCAAAGGCAAATATTTCACTTAAGGGCCAGAAGTAAGTCAATGTCATAGTTAAGCTCTTAAATCACTCAGCTGGTGGGACTCTTCAAACCTTTCATTAGATTTTTAAATATAGTTTGCTGCCTATTTTCCTTTTGACCTCTTGACTAAAGGTCATTTGAGGATATTAATAAACACTCTAAGTGGCTCATCTGTACACAGCAAGTTGTTCATTTCCAGCTTGTCTGCAACTAAATTTGTTGACAAGGGGTTGGATTTTCAACAAACATAAATGGGTTTTAAATAATACAGATTTCAGATTGTGGATTTTTTGAAAATATAATTTATTTATCAGTCATTTATGTCTATGCACATACATTTTTCCAGAGCATCACCCCAAAAGACAATTAACAATAAAATAAATAATAACCTGCTCTGCAACTTTACCAAGTACAGTTAACATGATGAACATAATGCAAGCATGCAATTAAGAGAAAGTATTAAGAAAATTGCAAGTTACTAACTACCAAATAGGTAAGGCTAATTTCTAGATCTTCCACTCTTATAAACTATAATCACCAAAGTACTACTCAGATAATGTTTTAGAAACCAAAACATGGCATTCTGTTAGCAATATCATTACTGAAGAAAAAAACTTCCAATTTAAAATATAAACTATAATGTCTAAAATATATTATCTTCAAAATTTGCCTTAAAGGTCAAATAGTTTTAAGTGATAATCTGAGGGTAGCTTACCAGCCTGCCGCCAAAAACAAACAAACAAAAAAAAAAAAACAACGAGGGTAGCATGGCAAAAACACTGGCCAGGATATTGAAAGATGTCCTTTCTATTTCTGACTCAGACACTGGGAAACCTGGGAAAGTCACTTGACCTAACCAACATTCAGTTCTCTCATCTATAAAACAAGGAAATCACAGAAGAATGTTAAGTATCCATGCCAGCCTTTTTATTTATAAATGTCTAATTCGGAAGTCATTCATCAGAACAAGACATGAAAAATACCTAGAAGAAAAATAAGAGTGAAAGTCTCCAGTTGAAAGGACAGTTAACTTCACACCTTAACTTTTTCTAATAGCTTCAAATTTTTCTCAGTCCAAATCTTTTATTATGTCAAATAAGGATCTAATTTGCCTCTTTTAAAGTTTTTCATGCATGCATTTCTCTGTGGAAGGACTAATAAAGAAATCTGAAAGAAGGCACATCCCTTTCTCTTCTTCCCTGTTCCTTCTCTTTCTTTCCCTCTAGTATGAAATCTGTGAGGTACAGCATAGCACAGCGGTGTCTGTGTGGAGGGGAGCCTCAGTGGCCCGAACAGGGGAAAAGGATATCCAGGTACGAGGTGTTGGAGCCAAGAAAGAGATTCCCACAGTGAAGGCCTCAGAAGCAGCCTCAAAAACCAGGTTTTCCTCTGAACTTCTGCCCTCCTGTCTCTCAGCCCCATTCTTCCTGAGGCAAGCCACAGAAACAAGAATCCCTCCTCCCCAAGACAGGTCTTACATAAACTCTAATCCTTCCCCCCGCCTTTCAGTTTGGGAGCTGACCAAAAAGAAAATCTCTGACCTACCATGTCTGATTTTGGTAGTAAGACAGCATTCCAGAAAGGGTCCTGCCCCATATCCTAGAGGAATGAATGCTACACACAGACCAAGAAGAATCTGAACAAGACCTGTTTAGGCCTTGCTGGGTTTCCCCACTCAGTCTATTAGTATTAGATCACTCTTTTTTTTTTTTTTTTTTTTTTTTTCCATATCTGGCCAGTAAGGGGATAGAACCCTTGACCTTGGTGTTGTCAGCACCATGCTCTACCAACTGAGCTAACCGGCCAGCCTCAGCTAATACTTTTCTTGTCCAATCACATTTCTACGTGGCTGTGCCTGCCTCATAGAACCTAAGCATAAAAATGGACAATTTTCCCTGTATTTTTGGGTCTTCATTCTGAAGGCCTCCAAGTTATGTAAACTATGATATAATAAAATTTGTTGTGCCTTTTCTTCATATTAATTTGTTTGTTAGGTGATTTTTCAGAGAACCTTCAGGAGGTTGAGGGGAATGTCTTCCCTTGGCCCCTACAAAGGGAAACTAGGTGTGGGCAGTCAGAGCCCAAGCAGGGTCATGAAAGTGTCCATTTTGGGAAAGGGAGATGGAAAATCAGAGGAAGGGTGTGTGCATGCCTCCCAGCACAGAATATCGGAGCCCAGGTGTGATGAGAGGACCATCCTTCTTAGCATGGTTTGTCAGAGCCTAAGCCAGAAGAGGAGGGTGTCCACAGAAAGCGTTGGTCTGATCTGAGTGTCAGAGCCCAAGCAAAGAGTGGTGGGACCCACAGGTGCAGGGGAGAGAGAGAAAGGCAGCCAGCATGAGAGGCAGCCTGCATGGGTGAGAGACGAGGCATCCATGATTGATGGGGCAGGCACAGGATGTCAGAGATGGACGAGGAGGAAAAAGGTGACCCTGAGACAGGAGCATAAGGTGTCAGAGTCTGTGCAGTGAGGAGGGGAGCCTGGCTGGGTGTGTCAGAACCCACGTAGGATAAGGAGATATGGGGGGGGGGGAAGGGATGGCAGCAGAAAGAGTTGTTATGTATAAGGGGATTCATTTAATAACTAAATATATTCAAGATTATAATAGCCAGTTCTCATTGTCACAGAAGGGAGCTGCGAATATGGAGAGGGAGAAAACTAGAATGAGCACTATGGGCTTGGGTTGGAACTGGTGATATCAGTATCAATTCATGGCTTCCAGTATAGAAACAGATAGTTATAAATATAGTTGTGAATAATTCCTAGCTCTGTCCACTGAGAGGCCCTGGGAATGACATTCTAGTAGCAGTGAGCATAACTCGGGCACTAAGCTTGGCTTCTCAATACTGTTCTACACTGAATGGAACCAGGGCTCCTTAGAAAAAGAGCTGATTCCAGGACTGCTCAGGCAAAGAACAAGATTAACCTGGAATTTCTTGTTATGTCTGCAAGCAAGGAAATGGTCAAAGAATGTAGGAAATACATATGAAGTTATTCTGGGATAATGGAGCATCAGATTCACTCTAAAATGGTTCAGGAGGAAAAAACAACTTTTTACTGTGCTTGCAACTTTTCTGTAAGTTTATAATTGCTTCATAATTAAAAAAAAAATTGAGTACTAATAAGGAAATGAAAAAGAAAGTTCCTGAAACAAATTAATTGAAATTAAAGCTAAAATTTTGCTAAAATACCAACTTGATAATTTTTGGTGAAATTAATTTACTTGTTAATACATATTTTTATTATTTACATCACAGTTTACACTGTCTAGGAATACAAGAGTTAAAAGATACACCTGGTTTTACCTTTAGGAAGCTTGTAGTTACAGGTTAGAGAGAAGTGAGATGGTTGCTTAGTGGAGATTTTAAAAGTTCTGTTGGAGAAATAAGGAGCCCCTGTGTCTGCAGATTATAGTGAGCAAATGATTCACAGAGCAGGTAATCCTTGAGCTTGGAAGGATAAGTAGAAGTTTGACAGAAAAACAAGGAGGGGAAGCACATTCCAAGAAATGCAAAATAAAAAGCCCTGAGAGGCCTGAGAGAGCAAGGAGAACTGCAGGAGATTTCTGGGAACTGGAGCGTCTGCAGCAGAAAGGCGGGATCTGGCAGAATCAGGAAAGGCCTCAAAGCTCCACTGTGTCAAAGATGTCTTTATGTGGTGATGCTCCAAAAGATTCCTTATGATCATCTGCAATAAAAAAAAAAAAATCCCCTTCATGAATTTAAACTTCCTTTTCCCTGTATTATCAGTATCAAATAATATTAATCCCTTATTATTACAAATATGCCACACCTAAATTTCTCAAATAAGAACAATGTAGTGACTCTTTCCAGATCATATATGTCTATCAGCCATCAATACCAGAGACAGTATAGGTAGGAGTCATATTTTTGCAAGGCCTCTCTCTCCAAACTTGATTCCTAAGCTATAAAATGGGGATTAAAATAATATCTGCTCAATTTACGTCACTGAATAACTGTGAAAGTCAGATGTAATAATGGGAAAACCCTTTATCCATGAACTGTACGTGCAGGTATTAGTATAAGCTAACATGGTGGGGTAACTGGACCTCTATGATAAGCCTACAAATTGCCAATGGGAAATGGACAAGAACAACCAAGAATATCCTGGAACAAAGGTGATTCTGTACCTAATAAAACTCTTGAGGATTCTTCCAGAAAATTAAAGCACTACTCAGAAATGGAAAGAGCTATAGATAACATCAAGTCAAATCTGGTTTTGGGGGGGTAAGGAAAAGAAAGCTTAGGAGAGTTAAGTGTCCAAGTGAGGTAACACATTTAGACTGGAACATAAGCCCAAACCTGTCTTTTTCTGTTTTGCCACCACAAAACAAACACCAGTCAGTGTCTCAAGGATAATACCCTTGTGACTTTAATTTGATTGAGTAAATGAAACTGGAAATTATACTAACCTATCTTGTCCCTAACTCTTCTTCTTCATCTGTTTTCTTTAATTCTTGTCTAATGTGCCAATATCCCCAGCCCTTTTGCTCCCATTTCAGCTTGGCTCACCCAACAGTACCTCACTGAAGTTTCTCTGCTTACACTTCTATAATTTTTTAAGACATTCTTAGAATTTTTAGAAAAAATGATATATATTAACATGGAAAGATGTTGAACCAATTAATGAAAAAAGTAAAAGGCAGAAAGAATATGTTGTAAAACCATATAAACAACCGTGTGTGGCGGGGGGGGGGGGGGGTTT